CCTTCTCACTTTTCAGCATAACTTCAAGCAAATTACATCTCCTGTCTCAATATCCTTCCTCCGTTTAGATGTTTTATACTACTAAAACAAAAGCTCTATTTCAGTATATACCTGCTGGTTAAAGTGGTCAGGCTTAAATATGATACAAAAGCTCTTAATTTTAATCTTCAGCAATAAAGCATCAGTACAATCATTGTTCCTTTGCATTTGTTATTCAGTTAGGCTCTGTTGTGAATATTAAGGGTTGGTGTTAAAGCAGCTGGTTTGTCTGGATGCTAGTTGTAGTTACGGATGACAGCAACGTGAAGACACCCCAGAGATGCCCAGGGTGAAAAGCACTTTGTGCCAGCAGTGCCGTGGGTGTCAATGTTCCGTTGCATGGGGACCTACACCTGTTGCTGCGAGCGTTACTGTTGTACATGGCCTACAGTTTGGCTTTGATGAGGCAGTAGCCATTTAACTAAACCATCTGATTGATTTTTTTTTTTCCTTCCCCAAATGCTGTCACTGTTCGATGGCAATCCCCTCCAGATTAAGAAGTGCCCAGCGTGTTCCCTTTTAGAAGTCGTCATTCTGAGCAATAACAGATGCCGAAAAACCTCTCTGTGCATGTAATCTCTCTCTTTCCATTTTTTTGTTTGTTGTCAGAATTCTGTAAGCACTCGCAACATAGAGCATAAAGAATGGAAATGGCACATTTTGCTGCACAGAATAAGTCTGCCTGTTGCAGCTAGTGCTCCACACTAAACCCTTCTCATTTATGCTGAAACCATTTTAGTGTGAAATGAGACCTGACATGTTCCAGGCTTTGTTATTTGGTATACAGGGTCTTTTTCCTCCAATCTTGCCCCCTTTGAGGGTTGCTGAGTATTATGCGTCACTTTCTTATCTTTTAACTTATGACTTATAATACATACTTAACAGATACTACACGATTAACAATGTTAAATGTAGTTCCAGACAGTTCATTTAAACATCCATTTTGCAACTGTTTGTGAATTTTGTGCAATTTGCATGCCAAATACTTTGGACTTTTATAACACTTCTCTAAGAGCTTGGAGTCAAGCCTGCAAGTCTTTTCAGTCTTTGAAATTGTAGGCAATGTGTTAGTACGTATGAGTCTACAAAAGCAATTATATGCTATTGTTTTCCAAATAAATCAGAGTTACTCTTGGCTGCAATGAAAAGAAGTAGTGGCATTACTGGGTATAGTTTGGAGATGAAATTAGTTCTAAATTTGCCAGTTCTCAAGTACCGTCATATAAAGCCTAAACTCAGTGTGCTGCATTGACAGTATTCTCCATGAACACTTGGAAATTATCATGAGCCTTTCTTACTCCTTCTTTTGAAAATGAAAGTTAAATAAATGCAGTAAAAGAAGATAAACTGAATAATATAAAGGGCTGAAGGACTCAAAATCAAAACGAGGAACAGAATGTACGTTACATAAAGAAACAGCTTTTACTGAGGAAATGATAACCCTCTGTGACTATTTAGTAGAAATACTGTGAGAAGAAATTGTTTCTGTTGGAACTTGCTTATAGACTGCTACAGTAAATCTACTTAATTTTCATTTGAACTCCTCTGCTAAGAATAGAAATGCAATGATTGGGCAGTATGCAGTATCCTAATGATATTTTCTAGAATCTATCGCATACCACTGTAAGACTTTTTCTTTTTAAAATATATTTAAAGGCCAGCTTTGTTTGGGATGCTCATATTTTCTAAAGTATGTATTGAAAACATTAGTTGGCTGTATCACACAAATGTTGGGGGTTTTCCCAAGTACTGTTTTCTGGTAGCATTTAGTGATCTCTGGCTTTCCTGCTTGCGAACAACGAGAGAACTTTGGGGAGAGCAGTGTAGCTGCCTTTCTAAGGACGTGTTTTCAGACTGTTAAATGAACATCTCTGGTGTGGCTGTTCAGTAAGAGATAAATGGATTTTAATTTAAACATAAGACTATTGTTAGTGCTACTAGAAATGAGTGGTTCACAGCCTTGGGTGTGAGCCAGCACAGATGTGATCATCCGCTTCTGAGTCACCTGGGAAAGCTACTGCCTGGTTTTGTGCCTGTGGTCCACAACAGCGGTGTGAATCGTACAAGACGTGGCAGCGTTTTACTTGGGGACTGTGGAAAAGCATTGCGTATGTGGTTTTGTTGGGTAACAGTGAACAAGCTAGCTGAACTTCATGTAAACTGAATGTAAAGCTCATGGGTGACTTAATTTCTCTTGTGACTTGGTCTGCTTTGATGAAAGGCTGGTTTCCAGTCATCCAGTGTCCAATGATGCACTGTAATGCCAGATGGTACTCCGACCCCCCCAAACAAGTACTGCTGCTGACTGACAAGGTGGGGGCTCTACGCAGGCTGTCATGAGAGGTGAGGTAGAGGCAGAGTCACTGCTGGGGAGGCACTGCTCTTGGACATGCAGTGCATCTGTGCAGTTCAACACTAAAGCAGGGGGCAGGGCACGGATTTGGCCAAGTGCTAGTCTTTAGTGAGAAATGTGGAACAGCAGACTGACAGGAGAGACAGTTTTGGGGGAGCTGGCTAACGGACCTCCAACATTATCCAAGACAGACCAAGAAAACTGCATTTCCCTGAGCTGTTTTGGCATCCTCACACACAGAGATGCTGTTTGTGTGGAAGTGGTATCAATAATCGAGGCCTGCCATTTCATCTGATGATTTCAGGATTGGTGTATTGCTTGTAGCTATTTTCAAGTCAGTGCATTTCTGTAAAAGACACTGTTTTGTTGTTTTATTTTAACTGTAAGTATTGTAAGGGAAAAATGGGATTTCATAAAAGTATTAAATATAGAACTGAAAGTAATACAGTAAAATTAGTTTTAAGCCTTTGTTGGTAAAAAAAAGTGTCATGATATTGTGTTTATCTAGCCAAAACAAGAGGACAATTTTTATCTGCTCTGTAAAATTACAGGTGCTTTATCTGTGAAGAATTACTCTTAAGATGGAAAAAGGAGAAAAGCAGTATTGTAGACTGATTATCATATCAAGTGTGAACTGTGCACTGTCAGAACATCTTGTTCGTTTTGTATAAGCAGATAACTTTTTGGGAACACTTTCCAGGAGAGTGGGATTTTAACTTTCTCACACCCAGGCTGCATACTTTAGCAAATTCTACAATCTGGATGATAACTGAAAGAACAGTTCTATGTTAATATGGAATTATTTCCTATAATAATAACTTCTAAAAGATTTCCAGCAGCTTTGTGAAGTCAGTAAATTCAGAAGCTGGAAATAGGAGTCTTTTGGTAGGATTTCCAACTGCTTGTTACGTATTCTCTGTGGAAGACAGTCTTTCACGGGGCTGTGGTATTTATTAGACATCAGAGTTTTGCTTAATGCATAAAAATAAACATAATTGTCAACATAAAAATAAACATAATTGATAACTCTTTGGTACTTCTTATGTCTTTCTTGAAGGGCTACCTAGAGCCATTGCTTTTTGATTGTCTTTGGCATAAATAAAAGGGGCAGCTTTGTGTATAAGTCAATGTTTATTTACTGAGGACTCACTTAGAATAGAAAAGTAATGCCATTCTGGCCATCCCACAAATGTGTCATCTTAGGGTGAAAACCCGCTCCTGAGTATGAAGTTTTTCTAATATGTTAATGTGTGAGGAGCTTAGGCTTTTTAGTGCATGAATGAATTTGCAAGTGTCATAGGTTTTAGCCCTTGCTGTGCAGTGAAAGAAATTGATCTCGATTTGTGGGTCTGTGCTCTGTATTTTCACAGGATATCCATCCTTTGGCTTCATCTAAGACCATTTTCTAGGAATTCCTAAATCAATACCTTTTAATTTTGCAACCCTCAAAACCAGGATTTATTTCAGTGTTTGTAAAAGAATTTGAGACTATTATAGATTTGAGTTATTCTCGGACTTCTAATTTTCTTTGTGTTATTGTTAAATACTGTACAGTTGCTTGGAGAATTTATTTGTGTATAGAAAAGCTTGTAACAGACCAAAGCTGGCATCTTTAGGCCATCGTAATGATTCAGGATAGCTGAAATTCAGAGAATGACAAGTGCTAAATACATTTCAAAGTGTTATATGCACTGAATTAGTGAATGCATAGATTCTGTTGGCAGTGGATGACTGAATGTGGTCCCCTCCAAATCTGATATTCTGTTTTGCAGAGATGCAAGTGGCTCAAGGAATGCTTGTAAAATCTGTCTTTCATTAACAGCTGTGTACTATTCTTCATTGCTAATTCATCCTCAGCTCTTGCTTAATGCATACAGAATGCTATGGAGGTTGTTGGTGATAAAATAAAATTAAAAAAAAGCCTTGGGGAAAAAAGACCCATGCACCTTGGAGGATTTTTTCTAAAGGTTTTCATTCTGAGATGTATCTTCATTTTTTTACTTTCTCTACCATTAAATCTCGTACACAATTGAACAGGAATTGGTTAAGAGGAACAAATTCCTTCCCTTGAACATTTTGCTGAAAGTGTATTAGTATCAAAGTGGATTGTTAGAGCCTGAAGCTCAGATCTTAATCAGGAATTCTATAAAGTAATCAGTTCTGGATGGAATTTTTGTTCTGCTTGATGATACATATTTGTACTCAGCTTTCTTGCACTTGTGTCAGCACTTTCTGAGTGTATGGCGATCAGGGGATGTTGGGATTTCTTGATGGATCCCCCCACCCAAGATCAAATCAGATGAGAGTCTGAGCTGTTTGGAGAATTTAACTCTGTAATTACTGTTAAAGAGGTTGTCAGTGTGCTTGATAGTGATAAAGCACAGAAGACTTATTCCCAGCTTAGTGTGAATTTCCAGATAAAGGTTTAGAACAAACAGAAGTTCCTGAAAACCCTTGCCCTTTAGTAATTGAGCTAAAAAAGAAAAAAAATTACCCACAACTTAGGGAAGTTATCTTGCACTGCTAGCTGGAAAGGATTATTTTTCATTTTGGAGAATACCTACTTATGTATTGTATTTGACTTTTCCCGTGTTTCTGTCTGATACAGCCAGTGCTTATTGTTTTTTTCCTCTGTTTCAGCACCCAAAGACAATGAAGAACGTGTGTTCCGGGAACGTATGCGCCCCAGAAAGCGGCAGGGTGCTGTGCGACGCAGAGTGCATCAGGTTAATGGACACAAGTTTATGGCCACCTATCTTAGACAACCAACATATTGTTCACACTGCAGAGATTTTATATGGTATGACTTTGCTTTCTTTGCAACTTTGTATTGAAGATTTAACATACCCTCCTGTTTTGCTGAAGTATAAATGCCGTAGAGTAGTAGTTCTTTTCAATTTAATATTAAGCTGTCATCAGTTTTGCAGACGGTAATAGAATACTGTTAAACTTCCATCAAAAATGTTAGAATTTGTTGTATTTGTGGTTTTTTCTCCTCTGAGCCACAAAGTTCAATCTTTTCCTGTCTAGTACACGCTATAACTTCTAGGTGGACAGCCAGTCTCATGTTCTGTAGGTGCCTAAGTGTAGATTCAGGCTTAATATTAGACCTTTACATTTTGCCAAGATGACTGAATGCTTTAGGTACTTAAGTATCACCATCTGCCTAACAAGAAGGGCTTCTACAGGTATGTCAACCAAAAAAAGGAAGGTTAAAGAAAGTGTACCCCCCCGATGAACAAGAATGCCAACCTAGTATCAACAGATGAGGAGAAGGCTGAGGTACTCAACAACTTTTTTGCCTCAGTCTTCACTGGCAACCTCTCTCCTCACCCCTCCTGAGTCGATGGACCACATGCTGGGGACCAGGGGGGTAAAGCCCCTCCCACTGTAAGGGAAGATCAGGTTTGAGACCATCTGAGGAACCTGAATGTACATAAGTCTGTGAGACCTGATGAGATGCATCCCAGAGCCCTGAGGAAATTCGCTGACGTAGTTGCCAAGCCACTCTCCATGATATTTGAAAAGTCACAGCAGTCAGGTGAAGTCCCTGGTGACTGGAAGAAGGGAAATAAATGGTGTGCCCATTTTTAAAAAGGGAAAAAAGGAGGCCCCGGGGAACTACTGCCCTGCCAGCCTCACCTCTGTGCCTGGGAAGATCATGGAACAGATCCTCCTAGAAGCTATGCTCTAGCACATGGAGGACAGGGAGGTGATTCGAGACAGCCAGCACGGATTCACCAAGGGCAAATCCTGCCTGACTAACCTAGTGGCTTTCTATGAAGGAGTGACTGTATAAGTGGACAAGGGAAAAGCAACGGATGTCATCTATCTGGACTTCTGTAAAGCGTTCGACACAGTCCCCCACAACATCCTTCTCTCTAAACTGGGGAGATATGGATTTGATGGGTAGATTGTTCGCTGGATAAGGAATTGCTTGGACGGTCACATCCAGAGGGTAGTGGTCAACAGCTCGATGTCCAAATGGAGACCGGTGACAAGTGGAGTCCCTCAGGGGTCCGTACTGGGACTAGTGCTGTTTAATATCTTCATCGATGACATAATGGGATTGACTGCACCCTCAGCAAGTTTGCAGATGACACCAAGCTGAGTGATGCAGTTGACATGCCAGAAGGATGAGATGTCATCCAAAGGGACCTGAACAGGCTGGAGAGGTGGGCCTGTGTGAACCTCATGAGGTTCAACAAAGCCAAATGCAAGGTCCTGCACCTGAGATGGGGCAATCCCTGATATCAATACAGGCTGGGGGATGAAGGCATTGAGAGCAGCCCTGCGGAGAAGGACTTGGGGGTACTGGTAGATGAAAACCTGGACATGAGCCAACGATGTGCGCTTGCAGCCCAGAAAGCCAACTGAATCCTGGGCTGCATCAAAAGAAGCGTGGCCAGCAGGTTGAGGGAGGTGATTCTGCCCCTCTACTCTGCTCTGGTGAGACCTCACCTGGAGCACTGCGTCCAGCTCTGGAGCCCTCAGCACAAGAAGGACATGGACCTGTTGGAGTGTGTCCAGAAGAGGGCCACAAAAATGATCCGAGGGCTGGAGCACCTCTCCTATGAGGACAGGCTGAGAGAGTTGAGGTTGTTCAGCCTGGAGAAGAGAAGGCTGCGGGGAGACCTGATTGCAGAATTTCAGTACTTAAAGGGGGCTTATAGGAAAGATGGGGACAATCTTTTTAGCAAGGCCTGTTGTGACAGGACCAGGATTAATGGTTTTAAACTAAAGGAGGGTAGATTTAGACTGGATATAAGGAAGAAATTTTTTACAATGAGGGTGGTGAAGCACTGGAACAGGCTGTCCAGAGAGGTAGTGGAGGCCCCATCCCTGGAAACATTCAAGGTCAGGTTGGACGGGGCTCTGAGCAACCTGGTCTGGTTAAAGCTGTCCCTGTCACTGCAGGGGGGTTGGGCTAGATGATCTCTAAAGGTCCCTTCCAACCCAAAGCATTCTATGATTCTGTGATTCCTCCTAGGAAATGCCAAGCTCCTACACATCCTACTGAAGTTAATGAAATACCGGAATATTAGACTTCTAATGATCCAAGGTTTTGGGTGTTCAGTGTACAGGGTCTTTCTTATTACAATGTATGTCAAGAACTCCCTGTCGTGGTTTAGCCCCAGCCAGCAACTAAGCACCACGCAGCCGCTCGCTCACTCCCCCTACCCCAATGGGATGGGGGAGAGAATCGGAGGAGTAAGAGTGAGAAACACCCCTGGGTTGAGATAAGAACAGTTTAATAATTGAAATAAAGTAAAATAGTAATGCTAATAGTAACAGTATAATAATGATAATAATAATAATGATACACGAAGCAAGTGATGCACAATGCAATTGCTCACCACCCGCCGACCGATACCCAGACAGTTCCCGAGCAGCGATCGCTGCTCCCTGGCCACCCCCCCCCCCCAGTTTATATACTGAGCACGACGTCATATGGTAGGGAATAGCCCTTTGGTCAGTTTGGATCAACTATCCTGGCTGTGCCCCTTCCCAGTTTCTTGTGTACCTGGCAGAGCATGGGAAGCGGAAAAGTCCTTGACTAGCACGAGCAGTACTTAGCAACAACTAAAAACATCAGTGTGTTATCAACATTCTTCTCCTACTAAATCCAAACCACAGCACTATGCCTGCTACTAGGAAGAAAATTAACTCTATCCCAGCTGAAACCAGGACACTCCCTTTTAGAAATGATTTACATTAGTTTTGAGTACTCACAATTTTCAGATAGGGAAAAATGGTGGAGACATTCAGTTTTCAGTTACTTTTCAGCAACTCTATTGATGTTTTCCAAAGTTACCTAGAGATACTGGTTTGCACCTTAATACACATAAGATCTGATGTGATCCGTAATTAATATTTCTTAAGAGTGTGTAATGAATCAGTCTTTCTTAATGTGAAACGATGTGAATTGTACATGAACTCAACTACATTCCTCTAAGAAGTGTCTGCAGGTTAGGCTTTAGGTTAGCTTAACATGATTTCAAGCAACAATGTTGGCAAATGCAATCTTCTGTCTATATAGAGGCCTGCTTTGATGACTATTTTACCAGCTTGTGGCTTCCTTCTCTATGTACCCTTTGGCTTTGCCTATTTTATTACAGTAAATGTGTCTTTACTTCTGAATCCCTTCATGGCCTATCTTTCTACCTGTTATCTCTTAGTAGCTCGAATGTCGTTCCTACTTTGAACTGACCTCAGTCTAGGCATGCAGTTATTAGATAATTGGTTGTAAAAAGCTATTCTTTTAGACTTGTGCATGTCCAGTAAACAGAGGAAAAAATGGTTTTAATTTTTAAAAATATATATTCTTCATTTTCTAAACCACTGTTTTATTTTCAGGGGTGTAATAGGAAAACAGGGATACCAATGTCAAGGTAAGAGAAAATCTACAGGGGGACAGTTTGAATATATGTATTACATTATAATATATAAATTATAAGATATTTTCATCAAGCATTTTATATGTACAGTGTTAAGAATTTACCACAAGATGATCAGAATAAGTTTCTCTCACCAAAGATACAGTCTTTCCAGTATGTCACAGTAAGATTTTTTTAAAACTGTTGGTCTTAAGCAGCATATATGAGGTAGTAAACATCCCTGAACAGCAGATCCTAGGTATCTCTTGATGCACATCCAAGTAGGGGGGCATATCTGTGGATGCTGGCTTCTTCATTTTTCACTCCTTGCATTTTAAAATTGTGAATTCTTTATTCTGCTTAAGATTCTTTGTTTAAAAATGCTAGGTAATTGCAAAGACGGTAATTAAAAAGACAAGGTAATTATAGAGGTCATCATTAGAGAAGGTTATTGCAAAGACTGCAGAAGTGCTTCAATTTCAGCTCCCATTTTTCAACTCAATTTCTTGTACTCTTAATTTTTTTTTTATGCAGTGACCTCTTGGGATGATGTTTTTCTACCTAATTCTCATCTGACAAGTAGAAATAATCAAGTTAGTGATGATTTTTCAGTTACAAAAGGTTTGGTGAAATTTCATTGTAAATAAATAAATTTATTTTAGTTTTACATGCTATAGTAAGAATTACTCTATTAACATACAGCAGAGGTTCCTTGACTTGTAATTTTTTTTTTTCTTACAACAATGACCAAAGCTAGAAGAAAATGAAATTAATTATTTCACTCTGAAGGGGTTTTTTTCTTCACTTAATGACCTTGAATCCCACAGTACGATAGACCTTGCAATTTTTAATCTTACCTGTCATATCTGCAAATGTTATTCATTGATTAAGTAATCAGTATGAATATTGACAAAGCATTTTTACCTCCTGAAACCTTTTACTGTTATCAAGTTACGATAATGTGTTACAGAAAGAATGTTCAACTGTTTTTTCTGTTCTTTGACTTCTACAATGAGTTATCTTTATGTCTCTTTTCCTCTGGAAGCTCTTCAGAAAGGAACTGTTTTTGCCATTGTGTCTTGTATAATGTGGAGATCATGGACTTTATCAGATAAAGAAATCAAATATTTAAAAATAGAGAAAAAATGTGGTTAATATTTCAGAAGGTAATTTGTGGTTTTACATACTGAGATTTTGACAGATATGCTTTAGCTCTTCTAAAATTCATTGGTCTCTTGAAAGTCCATTATCTTCTGCCTTTGTAAGCCAGGCTTACTTCATAGGACTCACCAAGTCACCAGTCACTTGCAGCCTTTCAAGTCCCAGCCTTTCTAGTCTTCTGAGATCAGTCTCTTGCTTTAAAATCAGTCTTCATGAAAATGCATTCCTTTATCTGTTTTTTGTTTATAGTTTGCACTTGTGTAGTCCACAAGAGGTGCCATGAACTTATAATAACGAAGTGTGCTGGCTTAAAAAAACAGGAAACTCACGATGAGGTAAATGCTTATAAAACAAATTTTCTAGATAAAACTCTGTCTTTCATCTGTTCAAAGTAGTGTCATCTCCTCTGTTTAATCAATAAATGTTATAGACTTTTTTTGTGGCCTTCTGGTCATCTTGTCATGTAGCATTTACTTTGGAATGACAGATTACCATAACAGTTTCATCTACATGGGCATTATTATACAGCAATTTATTTCTAAGTAGTAAACTTTTTATAACATCTGAATGCTTAAAGTCTCAGTGAGCTCTTTCCACTCCTTTTCCCTTGTAACAGTCTCCGTCTCTGAGTTAATACAAGTTTTGTCATTTTAATTCAAAAGAAGCAGGATGGGACCCTTTATCCCTTAACTGCATTTTGTGTGGCTGAGTCATTAGCAGCTGATAGGATAGGCAGTATGCTTGGGTATATTGCATCAATATAAAAGACTGCCCAGAATTTGCCTGCAAAGTCTCACCTCGACAAAGACTGCATCCAAACTGTCAAAACGTAGAACAAAAGCCATCTGTGTGTTGAAGAAGGCCCAAGGATATTGTATAAGATGGTAGTGATAACACAAGGTACTACATAGTTAACAGGTTTTCCAACGTAATTATTCCCTACCTCTAGCAATCTTTTGTATATTAATGGAATTAACACAATATGTGCTTCATGTTATCACGCATTTAAATAAATGAAGACATCACCTGAAAATGAAATTAGCTGCCTTCAGAACCATACTGTCAGGGAGGTGAAAATATCTGCCAACAGCACATTCAGCTCTGGATCAGAAGAGAAAACAAAGCAATCCTTTCACTTGGGTTAAAGGTCTCCCTCAGCTAAGATGGCCCTTTTAGGCTTGGTTAGGAAACCAGCGTTAATTTATTTGGACAGTCATATAGCAGGGAGCGAGGTGAGTGCTGTCATGTTGAGCTCCCTTAGACTCCTCAGTTTTGGGGTGTCCTTTTATGGCTAGGTTGATACGGGACAGCTGGGGAAGGGAGTGGGTTTTTGGTTTTCTAAACAGTTGTAGCCCTCAGCTGTAACCAGTGAATGCTTTAGCTTATACAGAAGTCTATTGCTTGTTTGTGTTTTAACAGAAAAGCTAATGAATGCTCACTGTCCTGTTCTGTTCTGTGCAACAGCAAGGGCCTATACTATCTTTCACCATAGGATTAGGTGAGGTAGCCTGTGGGTGATCCCAGTTCCTTGGCCACACAGAAAAAGTACATTTCTTAGTTTTATTTAAGAACCCATATTTATATGCTTGAAAAAGCCTAGTTTTAAATTAGAAATCAGAGTTGTGTGCAACAATGGGTTTAAGCCACTCTTTCAACTTTGATATGAGTTTGACTGAGACGCTGACTGATCTCATTCTTCCTGTGCAATTCGCTACCATTTTTCATACTGGAAGCATTCTTTAATGTCTGGTTAAACCAATGTTTTACATCTGGAACTTAATCACTTGCATAGGATTGTGATAAAGGACTGTATTTGGCTAGTACTCATAGGACTGTGTTTTTGCATAGTACTTACAGGAAGATACAAAATCTTGCATAGATTTATATTCCCAGGCTCCAGACTGATGGAAACTTGTATGCTTTGCTGATATAATGCTCTCATTGTTTAGAAGGGATACTACATCACTGGAGAGAAGCCAGTAGTAATAGGAAAGGGAAGGGAAAACTTTGAAATAAATCTCCTGCTATGCAGTGGCCGCTATAAAAACTTATCAATAACATCCTTTAATTAGTAAATAATCGTACCTTTGGAATCCCTGAACACAACAAATTATTATTGTCGTTTTCATAATCTAAAGAAGAGTGGGATAAGAAAAGGTAAAGGGGCTGGGATGCACTTCTCTTTCTTCAAACCGTATTAGTTCGGCCTCCTGCTTCTAAAACAATTGGGAGTGACTTCCTTGTCCCCCACATTAAGAGATCTTTCCTGATAGCTATGTATTTGTTGTTCCCAGAAGTACTAGGAAGTAGACTTTAGTCTTTATCTCTTGGACAACAGCAGCCCTTCCCCCTCTTTTCCCCAAATAAAGTAGTGAGAAGAACTCTGGAGCTGGAGTATATCTAATGCAAAGATCATCATGAGCACAGCCCTATTTCATCTTGTTTGAATTCTGTGTGGTTTCAAAATATAACAGGGCCTCAGCGTACAGTGATTATAAAGAAGTTAATTAGAATGAAATATGCTCTGCTGTCCTTTTTCAGCAAGTGGGATCCCAGCGTTTCAGTGTCAACATGCCTCACAAGTTCAGCATTCACAATTACAAAGTGCCCACCTTCTGTGACCACTGTGGTTCATTGCTCTGGGGTCTTTTGAGACAAGGTTTACAATGCAAAGGTAAGGATTACCACTTCAGAGCTTTTCTTTTTCTGTGTGAGTGCAGTAGACTTGGAAAGACTTCAAGTTATTCTGTCTTTTCCTGCATGTACAGAAATGAATAGAAAGAAAATAGCGGACTGCTGTAGGGATTGACATCATGGTTAGAAAATGGTCTTTTACACTGTCTGCAACACCAGTCAGTAACAGATGCAGAGGACAGAGATGCAGAAACACATTTTGCACTTGCTGCTCTGTAGGTCTGTTGCCACATAGGAAATTAGAAGTTGACAGAAAATCAGGACCATGAGAATTTACATCCCTTCAGCTTTTATGCCTTTTGTGTTTTCAGGTTTGTGGTGATGGTTGTTAAACTTATCTAACATCATTATTCCAGCTACTTTTCCCTTCAAAAATTATTCATTATTTTTTTTTGTTTTGAAATGTTACAGAAACATAGAAAACTCAGGAATAAATTAATTGATCTGTGACTCCTGGGAAAAGATGTTGTCATTTTGTTATTGCATAAGTTAGTTTGCTTGTTGTAGTTAAATGTATTTACTGGGTAGATTTCTACACAGGCTCAAGGTGGCTATTCAAAACTTTCCCACTCACTGGATATGCTTATTACATTTATTTCATCTTAATTATTCAAAAATTATTATTTTGTATTGGCTGGGCTAGGCGGAACCAGTCCTGTGTGCCCATATCCAGAAGATGAGGTATTGATACCTAGCTAAATCATCCTTTGTGATGGTCTGCCTAGCCCCTCTATCCGTATCTCTTTTTTTCAAGCAGATCTGTATATTCTAAAAGGGGGAGAAAACAGTACAAACACTTGCAAAGGAAAGTAATAGTTTAGAAATAGTGAATAAAATACTTCAATTAGTGGGTTGATGGTAATGATGTCATGAAGATTGTCAGATTCTTAGAAGATAGTACCTAATGGAATTATAAGCATTTGCATTTTGTTACACCTTTATGGATGGGTAGGTCCATCTTCATAAATACAAAAATCATGTTATGTACACTTCTGAACAGCAGAAACATGGAGTCACACATATATGTATAAACATGTAACCTATTAAATGCATGCTTTGCAGTATTTAAGATGAGACATAACTATAGGTGAAGGTCAGACCTAATGCTTCATGTGACAAATTGCTGAGCAGCAAGGGAAAGAAGAAATTTCTTTCTTGGCAAAGTCATACGCAGTGAGAGCGTTCTGAAGTTCAAGCCTTCCCCTGATTCTAGCTAGTGAACAGTGATAAAATGTTAGACTCTATAAATATTGTTACATTACTCCTACTAAAGATTTTGTTCAAATGCTATCTTAATTATGGTGGAGGTGTGTTCAGAGAAGATTTTTCAGTTAAACCTGTTTTTTTTCCTCTCATTTTTAATAAGGGCTATGGTATCTCTCCACTTGATCTGTGAATATATTACTTCACTTGCATATTCTCTCAGAAGTACCATAGTCGTTCATTTCCTCTTGGCTGTAGAAGATAATGTTATTTCTTGTACGTATGCATTTACTGTGTAGCAGATGCATAGAAACAATAGTTCAGAGAGCCGATGTTGCTTTCTTCATGTTCATAAAATTAATGCCTATAAAAATGCAGTATTGTCTGCATGAAATCTAGATCTCACCTGAGCTGGAAATGTCATTTTCTCTGTGCTTTGTTTTTCTCTGTTAACAAGTGGTGAACAATGCTCTGTTCTTCGGATATGTACTTGCTTGCCCAGTGTGATTAGTAACACCACGAAAAGCGTATTCAAGAGGTTTATTCTTCTTTTGTTTTTTTACTGCTTACTCCTGTGCTTCTTTTTGCAAATATGTTCATGGAGTTGGACTGTACAAAATTTTCCTCCTTGCTTTATTTCAAGCAGTTCAGGTCCTGAGTGTCCGCTGTTACGGATCCTAGGGCAAACGTTTTACTTGCCACTGAGCTTTTGTCACCAAATATACATGCGCTGAAAATACCACGTGTAGCAATTTCTTTTGCTCTTCTTGTGAGCTGAAACATGCTTGAAAAGGAAAGGCACCAGCTTTCTGAAGTGCATGGTTAACTGCTGCAGATACAGTGCCTGTGTATGGTCTCAGAGGCAAATGTGGTTTGTTTCTTTAAGGCTTATACAGCGAAAGGATTGTTGATGACCAATATAATGAAATGCAGCTTTATAAATACATACTTTTTTGATTTTTTTTTTCCTCTAAAAAGTAATGAAGTGAGGAATTTGAGCAATTGAACGTTAATCTAGTATTTAGTTACACTTGCAGTTTTGCTTTCTTTATGCCTTGCTCCACAAGAGGGCAGTGAAGTCTAAGATAAAATGTGTCATCGGCTCCTAACAAATCCACACTATGGTATTTTTAAAGGAGCTGTGTTCTCCCCCCATCCCATAACCTGGAAGCAATGTAACCTTTTTTTCCCAACTTACTAGTATGCTAGTTTCAGGAGATGGTATTTAAGAGAAAGAGCTTAGTAAATGGATTGCTATCTAAAGAAAG